ACCCAAAAGTTAAATACACTGTATCTGCTCTACTCTAGGTGTCTAAAGATTGTTCACGACAGGATATTAACTCATTATCATTGTTTATATTTTTATGTAGGTATGTCGTTGACTTTCTACACGCTCGTATCTCAGCATTTAGCCACGTGATCATTTTCCTGGACACAAGCGAAATTTAAGTGAATTGCAAAACTTAATGCGTCATTTGTCACAGAATGGCGAATTTTTTACCAGAGAAGTAGTTCAAGCATTCTTGGCCTAAATAATCCTAATAAGCTGACAAAATTTTATTAATATACAAAAATTGCTTGCGAAAAATACATTAAAATTGTGTTATTTGCGCTTTGCGCTGAACGTTGTACAAGTTATTGAAAACATTGTTATTGGAGCTAGTAATACTGAAATATTGAACACAATCAATCAATGACGATGAACAAGTGGTAGTAACAGAATTACGAGATAGATTCAGTTATTTTAAGGGAGTGCACGTTATTTTCTCGACGTGTCATGACGTCTAGAATACGAAAAAAGTAGTCTCGCGTTTCCGTCTGTCTGTCTGTCTGTATGTCTATCTAGATAAACTAATGGACCGATGGTTGTCAAATATTACGAATATCATGTACATTGTAAAACGCTAACCAAAATTGTACACAGGAAATGGGTTTTAAATTGTATAAAATAATATAGTCCTACACAGATAGTTTATGGTCCCGTGTTGAGTCTTTACCAGAAACGTCCAGAATTTTGGAAAAAAATCAAATCAAAATTGCAATTTAATTTTGAATCTGCAAAAACCGAATGCTTTAAAATTTGCAGATGTTTTAAAGTTATGATAAGCATGATAAATTTTTAATCAAAATATATTTGCTCAAAATTTTGCCGAATAAATCCTACCTAAAATGAGTCTATACTTGTGACTTGTTCGATTCATATTTTTTTGATTTGCTTATACAGGGTGAAAAAATATATTGACTTCATCAGGAATTGCAATACCGAATGCTTTGAAATCTTGGAGATGTATTAAAGTTATCATAAGCATGGTAAATTTTTGATTTGCTTCCACCCTCCAAAAAATTAATGACTTCACCTCAAAATTTTGCCGAATAAATCCTATCTTGAATGCAAAATATGATGAGTCTATACTTGTGATTTACCACTGCATTAATATTTTTTAGATTTGCTTGTACGGGCTGTCTAAAAAAAATTAATGACTGAGTAAATTTATTTTATTGATTACATCAAGAATTGCAAAATAGAATATTTTGAAATCTTGCAGACGGTTTGAAGTTATTGTAAGCATTTTTAATCAAAATATTTATCAACCCCAGAAAATTGATGACGTCATCTCAAATTTTTGCCGAATAAATCCTATCCAAAATTTGCTAAATATAATCAATCTATGTTTGTAATTTATAATTGCATTAATATTTTTTAGATTTACTTATACAGGTGACCCAAAGAGTTAATGAATGCGTGAATTTCTTTTATTAATTTAATCAGGAACTACAAAACCGAATGCTTTGAAATTTTGGATATGTTTTAAAGTTATCATAAGCATGGTAAATTTTTGTTCAAAATGTATTTGCTCGTCCCTCCTAAAAAATTGATGACGTCACGCCAAAATTTTGCTGAATAAATCCTATCTAACATGTGCAAAATATGATCGGTCTGTATTTGTGATTTATCATTCCATTCATATTTTTTGGATCTGCATATACAGGGTGAATAAAAAAAATTAACGAATGCGTAAATTTATTGAATAAATTACGAATTGCAAAAATGAATATTTTGAAATCTTGCAGACGTTTTAAAGTTATTCTAGGCATGGAAAATTGTTAATCAAAATATATGAAGGGTACACGGGATTAACGATCAAAGTCACAATTTATAAATATCGAGAAAAATGAATTTTAAAGTTTGAAACCCAATAGATTCAAAACAACACAACAATTTAGTATTATTGTTTAATGTGAAACTTATTAATTAATAATAACACACAAAGGGTGGACAAACAAACTTAGTAATTGACTTAAACAAAAATAAATATATAATTCTGGAAAAGGTGTATTATGTGTATTATCTTCCTAAGGATACCATATGTTAAGCCCTTCTTTCTGCTGACTACGATCGTTTTTTGAATGATTTTAATTTATACTACTGTAATATTTAGCATTTCCTACAAGATGGTAGTCTTATCTCAATTTGATAAAAAAATGGACTTTGATCGTTATTCCTGTGTACCCTTGATATCTGTTTATTCCCCCCAAAAAAATTGACGACGTCATCTTAAAATTTTGTCAAATAAATTATCCAAATTGTGCAAAAAATAATGAGTTGTTTCTTGTGATTTATCATTGCATTCATATTTGTTACATTTGCTTATACAGCTGACTCAAAAAATTAATGAATGAGTCAGTTTATTTTATTGATTAAATCAGGATCATTCCATTTTCACAGAAAATTTTGGGAATACAATACTGTTATTTTTAGTACGTATTACACTGCGCCAATCCAGGTTGATATACCTACATGTCATTGGAAAAATATTTATAACGTCATCGCAAAATTGTGTAAAGTAAAAACTGAACTCGAAAATGCTGGATATGTTCATTGTATGTACGTTAGGTACGAGGGAAGTTCTGTAGAAACAACTTTCGACCAATTTTTTTTAAATCATACCATTGAATTCATAATTACAGAACAATAATTAAAATTTATTCACGTATTCGCCTCTTCTACAAAGTTGATGACATCATCGCATTATTGAACATAATGTTTGCTAAAATGTGCTTCAAGATTTTACATCGTTTGATTTTTGCAATTGAAATATCTTTTTAAAATACCTTAGGATGTTTAAAAAAATTAATGAGCGGAACGATTAATTGTATTAATTAAATCAGAAATAGATTTTCTCCAAAATTCTAGATACACATACTAGATGTAACTGCTATTATTATTTCAATATATAGTGTGAGTCACTACAGTCGCGGTCCTCGATATCTCGTTAATTATTAGAAATAGAAAAACATTCTAGACTAAAGTCGCATCCTACACATTTTTATATATTCTGATTGACCTCTTCTTATGGTATATCAAAAACCAGTAATTTATGTGCTATGCTCCGAAAACAAAACACTCTGTACAGTCAAAATAATTTTAATGTTACTGCCGAAAGACCCGCACAGCTGTAGTCTTTGACTTCTTTTCTATCTCTAATAATATTTAGTAAGAAGAAGAAGAAGAAAAATAAGAGAAAACCGCTATAATAAATCATAAAAAATAAAATTTGTAGGATCACCTTTTAGAATTTATTTAAGCATCTGGACTTGTTCTGAAGGAACAATACAAAAGAACTTCTCTCTAAATAACTTTAGATCAGTTGTTTCAGTTATTATTATTTTTTGTATGTATTTCGATAGAACTTCCGTAGCCCTTGAAGTACAGTCCAATAAATCCGGCTTAATATTTATGATAAAATTATTAAAATATATTAAAATATAACACCTAGCAGTGACAGTGTTAGGAAACGAAAAACCCATCATCAAGTCCGAAGTCGCCGAGTATAAATAAGCACAGCGCTATCAAATTTCAATTTTTTGCGAAAACTTAGATGCCTCGAGCAAAAGCTGAAGACGGATTCATAAACAACAACTACAGGAAAACGTTATTTTATAAAATTTAAAACCTATTTGCTATGAAAAATTTAGAGGGGACGTGATCACATTGTTGATGGGGATGATTAGACATATTTTGTTTATTGTTTTACCGTATGGGTACACGGTATTCCTAAAATATTTACATATAAAATTCGACAACAATCGATCCAATAGTTTCGGAAATCACCTGTCTAATAAAAGTTGACAGACAGAAGAAAGACAGACAACACACAGAAGGAAACGGGGGACCTATTTTTTCATACTCCAGGGGAGTAGGGGTCATGCAACATCGAACGTGAAAGTACCCATTCGACGGATGGATCCTGTTACGCTTGGAAATTAAAAATTTATAAAAATGATATTTTGACAAATTATGCAGGATCAGTGGGCCATCATTTTTAAAATTCAATGTGTTTTTAACAAACCAACAGCAGCGTCACAAAGTCTCATAAGCTCATGACATACATTGGATTGCTCATGGGTTTTATATACTCACCAATTAATGAAATGAAAATTCTTAGAAATTATACGTAACCGTCAATTTATTGCAGTATATTTTCATGACAAAATAGTATGCATTTGTTTTTTTATTTTATTTCCATCAAAAGGTAATAATGCAACATTTTTTAATGAAAACATACTAAAAAAATTTACGGTTACTTGTAACTTCTAAGAATTTTCATTTCCACTGCGTATCTGTGTTTGCACCCATGATATTTTCCTAAGCAACATATTTTCAGGATAACCTTTTAATTTAATCGACTAATTGAATTGTTCACATGATATTATACATGATAAAATATCCACAAGTGTGAGACGTAAGTATGTTTATCTGGACCTTTTGAACTGCTTGCGGTTTTTGCTGAACGGACATGCTGTGAAATTTTGGAATATCCGTAAATTAAATAATAAGTAAACAACACAAAAATGAATATCTTTCTTTCTGTCCTATTTGCTTTTCTGATTTATGATTACTTGAATTAGAAAGGTGGACGAATTAAGAATATTTTTAATCTAAACAGGCATAAAATAGATGTTAAATACGATTACAAATGGTGAATTAGGATAAAACTAATTAAGTTTTAATGAATATTAAAAATAAGTATATGTGTCTGACGTGAAAATATTATACTTAATTATTCAGTTTAAACTAATTATACTGTATAAATTAATTTTAGTTGAATTTTATTTACAAAAAGATGTTGATTCGTCGATTATACTGACGCTAGAGCTCGCGAAATCATCTTATCTCGCAACTTCTGCAGCTCGGTCTGGAGATACAAATTAATTCAATTGAAATTACAAACCGTCCAATGATGTGAGTATATTAAACTTAACACTCACCTAATAAATAAACCCAGAACACTCTACGTTGAGACATCACTTTAAGATATTCCCACAAATTACAAGGTTTCATAGACGGACTTTCGACGTAACCTAATCAAGAAATTTCAGATGGAATGTAAAACAGTTTATTTGGCGTGTTCAAGATCACTTTAGTCGTACGATGCCTTAGCACAATAGTTTTAATTAAAATGGAGAGGCGAATTATACTGTTTACTATCTTGTGTCGTCCACATAAAATATGTGTGCGGGTTATGGTGTTAATTGAAGTAACAGAAAACAAAAAAATTATTGAAGTGGGAACAGATATAGCGGTGCTTCTGAATTTTGGTTTTAGTTTTTAGGTCGAAATTCAAATTTAATAAAAAAGCGCAATTTTAGTTGTCACACAGAAATATACATTTAAACTGCTTTTTACGCGCACTAGTCGGCGACTACAGCTTCGTTCGGTTTGTTTTAGAGCACGTGGTAAATTTCACCCTCCATTTTCCACTTCCACCGTTGATAAATTGGTAGGTACTTATCTGTTCATATAATTTACATATATTTAACAGCAATGACATCACTGTCATGAAAAATCTCTACTAAAGTTTAATAATACAAAGGATTTCCTTTTAGCCTTAGTACCTACTATATAAATAAAAATTAGCAGATTTTTATTTAAGTTATTTGTTCTAATTTGTAAACATATCGGTACCGATCTAATTTTGGAAAATGTTTCGTTTTCATGTTTTCTAGATCTTAACAATTAAATTATAAACTGTTATACAGTATCTTGCTAAAACTTATTCCTTGTTACTTCTGACGCCTTATATTTTACAAAAATTTTCATTCAATTGGCCATCACACTGGTATAGTAGGGATGAATAGGCAAATTTTGATTAGCGTTTTACCATTTACACGATATTCCTAACAAACAAATAAAATTTGACAAAAATCGGGGCAATAGTTTCGGAGACGTTTTTCATAAAATCTAAACACACGGCATACAGACAGACAGACAGTCGGAAACGGGAGACCTAATTTTTCGTACTCTAGGGGTCATGAAACATCGAGAGCATAAAAGTAGCCACTTGACTTGTTTACAATACTTCTTTAGCTTACGCTCAGTAAGTAAAAATCAATATTTTCGTAATTTGAATTCGTGTTCTCCCTAGACTTTGTTGTATACAAATATTTTAGTTCCTCTATGATAAAGAAAAAATAATAATAATAATGATGAAACTATTACACAAAAGCGGTATCAGAAGCAAGCTTAGCATCACTTGTTAATTTAATTCACGGTGTGAAAAAAATGCCTTAAACCACAATTCATTTGGCAGTCTGAAACTAGATAAAATTATTTGTTTTGCTTTGCCTTGACAACATTTAAATTTTATGATAATGTTAATCAACATCAAAAAATGTTGGCATATCATAAAGACCAACAAGATCACTGATTAAATTATCATACATAATTATTGCATTCGAACTTTTTATTCCTCCACAAACTTGTATTTTCAAATTAAATCAGGTTTCTTGTTACTAAATAAATTCGAGATAACAAAACAATAATTTGAAAATTTTAAATTTTGTTCAAATCAAAAAGTGTGTTCTGATGTGACCTGACTTGACCTAACTTATTGTAGTTTTGTTAGTGCCACACTAAACATGGCAAGCACCGGGTAAGTGGTAAGTTCCTCTCTGTGAGTATGGGAAATTTGCCACACTTCGAAAAGTAATAAAACAGTGATTTTATTATTTTTTATTATTACACACAAATGAAGTTCTCTATAGAAAATACACTTACATCGTACACCCAAACGAGCTCTAGCAGGATTTATAATACTGTCTACTTTATTGATCTAATACTACTGGATTACCTAGTTTTTATACTACCTGCATGAAAGACGTATTTGTTTTTTTTTTGTGCAAAACAGTTGGCTATTTTGCACATCCAAAACTTACCTTCCGAAGTTTGAGTCAACAATGTTGGTGAAGTTACTTGGATTTGGATTCGTGTTTTGTTGATTTTGCATCCCAGTACGACCACGCGCACTATGTCGCTGGGGGGAGAACTGTGGCGGCACAATAATAGGTTGGTAAGCGAAGAAAGATAAGCCGTTCTGTAGTCTAGTGGTCAGGGCACCCGCCCGGCAAGCGGGAAACGTGTGGTTCGATTCCCACCGGGGTATCAACATTTTTCTTCGCTAACTAGAATACTTTAAAACCCCCAATTGAAATTGTTAAAATTCACTGCGATGGCCAACGTATGATCCCTTCACGCGAACCAAGCTGAGCTAAGAACTATCCCGATTAAACCAGCTTTCAAACAAAAGAAGCCGTATTGAAATTGATTCATCCATTCGGGAGCTACGAAGGCACAGACAGGCAGACAGGTCAGACAAAGGCTTCAGAGTTACAACACCCCTCTTTTTACGTCCGAGGTTAAGAAATTAAAAAAAAAAACTTCAAGTATCAAAAAAGGCCTGTTGAAAAAGAGAGCCCAAATCCAAATCTGAATCTAACTTTAGTCAAACAACGATTAACACTGCAATTAGTGTAATAAAAAACACCATTGAGTAATAAACTCGTTACAGTTAAAAACAATCCAGTTATCACATTACACACACTACACGGTATGAAAAATTAAGTAAAACTTAATAATAATTGTAAAAATAACACATTTAACTGAAATAAAACAAAACAAAAAATTTTCCAAATTGTATTATTGTATTTTTTTCCTTTAGTGCAAATAAAGAAAGACATGTGGTATTTTATACATTACTGAATGTAGAAAAAAATGCTTTTTTTTAATATCAAATTCGATCCCTCGTGCTATTAAAAAAAATCAAGTTGGCCTCGTATCTCCAAAACAAATATACAGGGTGTCTCAGAAATAAGTACATTAATTTTAATCAGTTATAGAGCTCATTGAACTCAACAACTTTTTTTAATAGAGTTTTGTCAAGAACTTTTTAATTATCAAGTTAAAAATTGTTAAAGTTATACCCCAATTAAGGTTACCCGCCCATGGATCCTCAGTCACCCATGGACACTAATAATAATTATCATAATTAATAATTTATGGTCAAAAACAGTTACTAGGATACGTATTTTCCTAATCTTGTCAATGTGACAAACATTTAGAGAGAAATTGAAAATCCTGCTCCCTAATGGCGTATGGAATTTCATCGGCCCAAATGTGGGTGTTGAACACCTTCCCTCGTGTAACCGACCTCATCAGTTGATGGTATAAGAGATACAAAATTTGCTTGTTCGTTTATTTTTCTATTAACACACTCACAAAAGTTTTGCCTACGTGGTAAGTCTGTTAGTTTCAATAACTGAACTTTCTGGTCCTGAAAGGGGTACATTTGTTCTCTGAATATCCTCGAAATACTACTCTCCGATACATCACACTAGACAGTGATACGTGCTAGTGCCCGGTCGAGCTTCGACACTCTTCAAAACAGCCTCTTCAATATTAGCAATTCTATTACTACGTAACTTACCCCGATTCTGAGGTGCCGGTTTAAAAGATCCGTACTCTCGAAAATACTGCAACGTTCTTAAAACTGCGCACATTTGGCAGACGATTTGGAAGGTTTTCTGAAAAAATTCGTTGGGCGCGAGTGCCGTTTCCCCGAACTTCACCGTACGTTAAAACGATATCGGTGCATTCCAGATTTGAAAACAAAACCATTTCAACACATTTCGTCTATAAATTAGAAATCTGTGCCAAACAAACTTTAAAGAGACAACGTTTAATAAAAACATTGACATAAAAATGATTGTCAGTGCCAAAACGGATGCTACGGTACCTTCTTCATTGTTGTAGTGTTGCTATTATTTAAGTTATTATTTAAGGTGAACATAGACGGCTCGTGAATATATGGGTGGGAAAATTCGAAATTCGACTTGAGTTTTCGAAAAAATGCTAGATAAAAAAGTTGTTCCGTTTCACGAGTTCTGTTACTGGTTAAAATTAATGTACTTATTTCTGAGACACCCTGTATAATAAGTATTTCAGAGGATAAAGTTCAAATATTTTCTGGGAACATTTAGCTGTATCCGTAATTTTTAGCAACCCTATATAATATACTCTGTCATTGGGTCGTTCGTAAGGCCTGTATTACACATGTACAAGTTTAATTGCAATGCGATCATACGATTCTTCAATTTTTCAATTGGTGCAGTCAGCGTTGGCGTAACATTGTTTCAGATTAAACTACTAAGTGTCTCCCTTTCCCCTTATGTCATAATATGCAACCATATGCTCCTCCACCAAAGTGGAACTTATCCTGTTGTGATCCCTAGCCCTCCCAATTATGTACTACAAAAATAATTAAAGTACTTATTGAGTCAAATAATAAACAAAAAAAAAACAATAATGATTCTGCTTCTTCTGAATTCCCCAACATATTAAACGCAGGTCTTCTTTACAAACAAAAAAAAAAAACTATCCAAAAGACAGCATTGAATAGAAGAAAATTTTAAACAAATGAATTGACAGTGGAAAAAAATAATTTACACTGTAAGTCTTAACATAAATATGAACTCCCAGACTATAAAAAACATTTTATTTTCAAACGTCATATAACTGACACTTATATGACGGTCTTACTGGGGTTTAAGTGTCATTTCTATGACACCGTGTTTGAGCGGCGTATAAGTACTGCTTATACTCCGCCGGCGTATAAATAAAGCATTTATACTCCGCCGGAGTATAAATATGTGAAAATCATAGTGGTTGTCAACCATAGTAACCATGGTAAGTGAAATCAAGGCAATTCCTTAATGAAGCAAGAAGATAAATAAATAATCATTTCAAAAGAAGATTAATCGTTTGAAAATAAAATATTGTATTTCATTCGGAGTTTAAGTGACTTTATGTGACTCGTATGGACTTAATTCGCCTCGCTATTGCTCGGCGTTTAATCGTCCATACTCCGTCACATAAAGTATCACTTAAACTCCTAATAAAATAAATATCTATTATTTTCAAACGTCATATAACTGACACTTATATGACGCTCTAACCGAGGTTTAAGTCTCATTTCTATGACACCGTGTTTGAGCGGCGTATAAGTACTACTTATACTCCGCCGGCGTATAAATAAAACATTTATACTCCGCCGGAGTATAAATATGTGAAAATCATAGTGGTTATCAACCATAGTAACCATGATAAGTGAAATCAAGGCAATTCCTTAATGAAGCAAGAAGATGGGAAATAATCATTTCAAAAGAAGATTAATCGTTTGAAAATAAAATATTGTATTTCATTCGGAGTTTAAGTGACTTCATGTGACTCGTATGGACTTAATTCGCCTCGCTATCGCTCGGCGTTTAATCATCCATGCTCGACACATAAAGTATCACTTAAACTCCTAATAAAATAAATATCTATTATATTTCAAACACATAACTAAATAATTCCTTGGAGGTAAAAAAATCACA